GGTCCATCTCTCTCTACACAGCCGGCGTTGGTCCATCTCTCTCTTCACAACCAGCATTGATCTATCTCTCTTCACAACCGACATTGGTCTATCTCTCTCTTCACAGCCGATGCTGGTCCATCTCTCTCTTCACGGTCGGTGTTGGTCCATCTCTCTCTCCACAGCCGGTGCTGGTCCATCCTCTCTTCACAGCCGACGCTGGTCCTGGAACCACAGACGGTGTTGCCCCCTTTTTAACATACTCCTACAGCTGAGCATGATACTGTGTTCGGGAAATTTTTGGTCCTTACACATTTCCTCATGTTAACCACATGGAATTTCACATATACTTCAATATGACTTTTGTACCATTATTAAAAAAATAAATTTTTGGGAGAAAAAGGGTTTGATAGGCCACATTTCCAACAAGTAATTCAAAGACATAAAATTTATATTTTTTTTAGTGTGTATAATTTTTGAGTTCTTATACACCTTTATTTATTCTGGCGTGTGTTCCATCCTAGGACATGATTTTATTGTGCACTTTTAAAACCGGTGCTCAGCAGGACATCCATCACATTTTGGGGTCCTAAATATATGGGTGAGGTTTGTATAGAGCTGAGGTTCTAAACCATCAAACTAGAGCGCACCGTCAAATAGCATCAAGAAATGGTTTCAATACTGAAAACCGTTGTGATAGCCTTAAAATATATTTTCATCTGTAATTATAAAATTTAAAGCTTAAAAATAGTGTAGATCGAGTAGATCGAAAATCTTGAAAACTGAAATTCAAAAAATACATTATTTCCAAAACTTGAAATCCATTTTTTCTCCTATCCATGTACCTTGATGTTAAGACGATCAATTTGAGCATAAAAAAACCTCTTCTAGTGAAAATTTTGAGGTGCGCTCTAGTTTGATTGTTTAGAGCCTTGCCTTTATATAAACTTTTTCCTAAATATTTTCATGTGGTTTCGTGGGTTGGGTGGGGTCAACTAAGCCTTGTTTGGACCCAGATACCAGGGTCGGGTTGGGTCCAAGTCATTTGGGCCCCGACCAAGGTCTAGAAATTAAAAGAACAGTAAGTTTTATTACAATTGTATATAATATATACTTATATATTTTTATATATTTTAGGAAAAATTACGTATATATCTATTATTATCAAAATACCCAATACTTTCTGTTATTACTGGAATGTCCATTTTTTTTACTTCATAACAATTTTTTTAAAAAATAACAGTTTTATCCTTTTGCGGTTGTTGAACAACCGAATTCGATGAATTATTTGTTATTCAACTACTGGATATGGCGTCGATAGATTAACGTTCATATTCTCTGCCCTCTACGTCTATGCGAGTTTTACCCATTTTTGGTCATTGAACAACCGAAATGGTTATGATTTCGGTTTGATAGTTATAATTGTTTATCTTATCTGCTCTCAACATCTGTTCTCTATGAGTGCGCGTCTTTGCTTTGTGAGTGCTAAAGAAAGGTAGTTAGTAACTCTCTCCCAAATAACCTAACTGTATAGCTATGTGAAGCTCAGGATTTATTTTTTATTTTGACAATATTTCTCGGATTGTATAAAATTTTGATTATAGAGTTTATACTCAAGCACACTAGTTCTTTCTCGTGAAATTGATTTAGTTTCAATTAACTTGTGGGCCGATTTTGATTGTATAAGATTTTTAAAATTTGGGGGTTTTGAGAACTAGGAATTTTGGGGTCTCTGTAGAACTCGAAATTTTACAAGATATTGTATTGTGTGTTAACTTTGATACTCTTAGATAGTTTTAAGTACATATTTGTGATAGATTTGGTGATATCTTAGGAAAGGGTTGATTTTTATTGTTGATAGATTGAGTAGCTTAATAATGAAAATTTGTATGTGATTTATGATTCAAGTACATATTTACTTCGAACATTTTGCAAATTCTTGTGGTTTTAGGAGTACATAGGATATAAATTATTGGCTTCAATATTTTGGATAGAATAATTCGTGACTAGATTTATTTGAGAGCTCACTCGATATGTGACTTAGCATTGTTTTATTGATTCTATATGCAAATGCATTATGAGTTATTGTTGTCTCGATATTCATTCCTTGTATTATCATGTTCTTTTGATAGAGTAGTACTAGGTTATGGTCTACAACACTAGGTCCATAACATTAGGTTTAATAACACTAGGTTCTTTTGATAGAGTAGTACCGTTTTTTTAGGTCTTATGGTCTAAAATTGATCAATTTTCTATTTAATAATAGCATGTCATTATTCTTTATTGTTATTCAGTTAAGTTTTGCATATGTAACTTTATGATTAACATGGTGACCATATGAGGTTTCAGTGAATATGAATCGTGTATATCCTGATGGGGGATACCCAAGAGGTCCTTAGGACCCTAGTTTACTTCAGCTTCATCCAGAACATTCATCCTATTTCATATGGGAAGGACATGTATATGTATGTATTCATCAGCCCTTTCTATTAGTTTATTATTTTTCAATAAATTGTAGTCTGGTTTAAACGTCATATGGGAAGTACATGTATATATATTAATACTCAAGTGTTGTCTATTTGTTGTATTCCAGGAAAAACAAGAAATTAGAAATCGATGAAAAGACTTTTCAATTAAACGATTGGCATCTAACCGATGAGCAAGCTCAATTAGTGAGTGCTTCTGGGTTAGGTGCTCTATCTATTATCCAACCAGGTCGCATTGATCATCCTTTGGTCGCAGCCAATGCAGAGAGGTGGTGCTTTGAGACCAATTCATTTGATTACAACATTCTAATTGGTGAGATGACACCCATATTATTCGATGTTTATGAGATATTGAGACTGGCTGTGGATGATGACCCTGTTATATGTCGTCCTACTAGTGACCTTCGACAGTTCATAGAAAACAATTTGGGTATAGTCCCAACTGATGGCAACTCGACAGTCATCAAGCACTCATGGTTGAAGGCTAACTTTCACACATTGCCACCTGATGTAACCCCTGTGTAAGTTGTTAGATATACTCAAGCCTACCTTCTTTACCTCATCAGCGTTACCATTTTCGCAGATTCATCGGTTGCAAAAGTGCCAACGAGGTACTTACAATTCTTTGAGGATATTGAGGAAGCCAACAAATATGCTTGGGGTATTGCAACCCTTGTATATCTTTATCGTTCCCTTGAAAAAGCTTGTACTTTCAAGTGAAGACATTTTAGTAGTTTAGTCACTCTTACGTAGGTAAATTCTATTTTTCTATCTGACATAAGTCTAATAATTAGACTACTTTCCAAAAAAAAAAAAAATACTTATCATATGTTGATGTAATGTAGTGCTGGTCTTATGAGTATATTATGTAATGAGGCCCATACCGCATAGTATCTCTGCTAATATGCATCGGGCAAGAATTGGACAAGAATTGGATAACCTCCAACCTAATGAGGTTAGTGTATATTTTGATATTACAAGATTTATTATTGATTAATTTTAATTGTATTTAAGTATTTGTAGTTGTTTATTGACTGATTGTCGTATGTTTGATTTCATATAATATAACAGCTAATATGGAATCCTTATTTCAACCTGATGAGGCAATTTCATATGATAGGCGGTAGGCATTTGAAACCGCAATGTACTTAATGACCTTGATATTTGACGATATTACTGAACCATATATGTCAGATCGTGTGTGCCGGCAGTTTGGAGCGTGTGCCGGCAGTTTGGAGTGAAACATGGCATTCCAAGAAATCCCATATATGTTGGTAAGAGGTCTAGTAGACAAGGTGGGCAGCAAGATTGGAGAAATGTAAATTTTGACAAGATCCATCAGTGGTTGACTTGACATGAGCCCATGATGCCAGACATTGAAGTGGATACTACCATGGGTTGCCCTCAGAGGAGTACAAGGTCTGGTACAACCGAGTGTCCCATCCTATAATCCATAATTTCGCTAACCCACCAAAGACATATTGCAACCTGCTAATCAGGAAGAATAAGAGGTGGTTCCTATACATGAGCCACATTATATAATGAGACATTGAGGTTATAATGACCAGTTGGTATATTTATATGACCTACAATTTTTTTAATTTTGTACTTACCTATAGGAAGTGGTTTAAATATTATAATTACCTATCTTGTCTGCTTATTTTCGGTTGTTCAACAACCGAAAATGTTTGACTAATGTAGATCTTGACTGCTTATTTTTGGTTGTTGGACAACCGAAAATATCACTGCATATTATAGAAGCAATATATATGTATCAAACATTTTTAGTTGTTCAACAACAAAAAATATGACATTTTCGGTCATTGAACAACCGAAAATATCACTGCATATTCCAGACGCTTGCTGGAACCCAAAATGTCGTATTTTTGGAACCCAATAAATAGTAATATAAAAAATGTAATAGTAACGCAAAAAGTCATTTTGGAAATAAATAGTAATACATACAAAAATATAATATTGTATTAATTGTGACAAAATTCATCAACAGTATTAGGCAAGAGTAAGAAAGGTACCAACCAAGACCAGACAGAGAGTCAAACTCTTCAACTTTGTGCGATACTGTATTATTGTATTGGGGGGCAAAAAAGTTCGTAGGATACGTATTGCGAGACACAAATTTTTAATAACCCTAAAATATCAAGAAAAAGACTCCTTTATGCTTTTATGTTTTGTTTATTCGCGGGTAAATTATTGGTTTTTCAAAAACCAAAATGTCTAAATTTTCGGCTACTGAACAATCGAAATTCTAGCCATTTCGGTTGTTCAAAAAATGAAAACTTTAAATTTTTCATTGTTGAACAACCGATTTCGATAGAATTCGTTAGTTCAATAACCGAAAAAGTAAAAAACTGTTTTTTTTTTAAATTTCGGTATGAAGTAAGAAAACGGACATTCCAATAATAATGAAAAATATTAGGTATTTTGACAATAACAAAAAATATAACAGATTTATACGTAATTTTCCCTATATTTTATATCAGATCGGGACTATATTTTATATCAGATCGGGACGGGTTCTATGACCTAAACCCGACACTAGATAGGGTCCAATTCAAAGTGAGATCAACCAGGTCCCAGATCTGCCCCACTAGTTCCAATACATGACCCAGACCATCGACCTGCTGACCCAACCTCATTTCCACCGCTTAAGGGAACGAATTCAAGCCCTAACCCTCTAATATTTGGGCGTCGTCCAGGCAGTGACGTTACATAATCCTCTAAATTTATCTGTTTTCTTTCTTTTTGAATATTGTGGATCCCAAATTGTAAGTAGAGAGTATCAATTTGAATTTTGGTGATAAAGAGTATCTTCCTTAAATATTTCCATTCAAGCTTGAAAGCAGACCAGGTCTCTAGATTCGCTCGCGGTGATTAAAGTTCTCACTCATCAACTTTGTACCCTCACCATCTTACCTCCTTTCCTGCTATTTACTCTTTAAATTCCTGCCATCTCTTTCAACTTGCAGTTTCTCTCTGCGGAGTTTCTTCAAAAATTTGAATATTCGAAACTCATTTCAATTGCATAAAGATCCAATCCTTAGGGGGTTTAAATAAGGTACTCTGGTGAATAAACTGTTGATTTGAGGATTCGGGGGATGTGATTTATGAAAAATTAGATTTTTTTCTTGTCAAAGATTTTTTTTTTAATTCTAGGGTTTGTACTTTACTGTGGTAGTAAATGAGGTTGATGGTGGTTTTTAATGCGTAAGTTGTGTTTTATTGCTTGTTACAGATTTTGGGAGAGATGGTTGGTGGAATAGGTACCATGCATGCTGATCGAGTCCTTGCTGCTGGTAAAAGGTCTATTAAGGATCGTCTCGATGGAGACTTCGATGATTCTTATTCTCAAGGGAGACGTAATAACAGCGGCAAGAGGTGTGTTCTTAGTTTAGGTTAATTTGTTTGTTATTGCTTTGCCTTTTGGCTTTATATAGTGGGTTTTGATTGAACCAGTCTACCTTTTGGCCCTTATATTTGCAAACATTCAATTTGATCCTGAAAAGCATGAAGTATGGACATGACGTCCAGGATTAAGTGCTTATTTGTAGAACTCGTTCATATGTTTCTCTTTGATGATTACAGTGTCTTCATCTCCTTCTCAGTAATCATCTTTTATTTAGTTTGTTAATGTCATGATCTCACAAATAAATAAGCAAACATGTTACTGAATTAAAAATAATGAAAAGAAATCTGGTATGGAGGGTAGGCTTTTAAAAGAGCGTCCTCCTCGGAGAATAAACTTCCAAACGTCACTTAGGGTACCATCTCCTCTAGGGTTCTCCTCAAAGAAACACCCAAGTGCCTGCTCATTTTCATTCAAATCCTCTATTTCTCCCTCCTAAACTTAGGAAACCCAAGATAATTTAAGTCCACCTTTACTCCATACCCAAACTCTAATTTGAACTTCAATCTCTATCTTCTAATTTGATCATGTTAGGTTTTGGGTTTCTCTCTAGAACCAAATTCGTCTCCCCTAGGCCAGTGCTGAATTTAGGAGTGAAAAGTTAGATTTCTAAATCAAAACCGAGTTTTGTGTGATCTAGAGAACTGAAATAATCCTCATCCATCTGCTCCAGATGCTAGAGATATGAACACCCTTCAATCCAATTCCCACCAAAGGATAGGGTTTGAGATAGTAGATGATAAACACTCGTTAATCTGGTTTTGCCTAATGGCCAGGATACTTGAGTCAAAGAGTCTGAAGTCAGTAGATGGACGCATATTGGTCTTCAACTTCGAGCTCAGGAGTGTGAGATAGTCTCGCTTCCTTCAAAGTATTGAATGCCCCCAAAACTTAAAATAGGAACCCAGATGAAATCGGGTTCAGGGAAAATTTTCTAGGCTAGTGCTAATTTAGTTATACACTGCTTGAATCAATGGGTTGCACGCTCACAACTTTGTCTAAAACCACGGCATCAGATTTGTCTCCCAAGGCAACCATATTAACAAATATCGTTTGACATTTCCAACACAAAGACATGTATATTAAAGTCTTAGATGTGAACAGAGAGTCCATTTTCTGAAAAAAATATAATAGAACTGGAACAATTACTTTCCAATGTTATCATGTACGTATAGGTAAAATGAAACTATCTAATTACATTCCATAGGATGAACATAAATGAATGGCATCAAAACGATGGATGTACATGTAAGATGATCATAACAAAGATAGATTGGTATCCTCATGGCACATCAATTGAAAACATAGTTTATCACTTTGATGAGATATTAAAAAATTTAGTGACTTCTAGGATTCTAAGATGGAGAGAGAGTGTACCTTCATTTTAATAAGATATTAAAAAAAAGTCTTTTAAGAGAAAACTGAGGTTTTTTATATAGGAGTACTATGGGTTTACACCTCATCATGACATATGTCAATAAGTTAAAAAGATCAATCTCATGACAATTACATCATGTCATAAATAAAGCAGGTGGCGTAATGAAGCAAGGTGTCAAAAAGTGGTGAAAAAGGTAAGCCTTTAGGTGAATCTTGGCATCTACACTAATGTGTTGGTCTCTTGATCATATAAAATTTTGTGATCTTATGGCTGCATCAAACATGTGTTGTTTTAAAGTGCATATCTCTTAGAATAAAAGAAAATAAAAAAGAAACGGTTAACAGACCTGTTTTTATTCTTTCCTAAACTTGGAAACCAAAATGCTTTAAATCCACATTCTAATGTGAACTATATATACATATATATCTATATATATATATATATGTATACTTTTTTCTATTAACATCAATCCCTATTTTTCCTAAAAAATAGCATCAATCCCTATCTTCTAATTTGATCAAGTAACCAACTAAATCAGATATAAATTCTTATACCAAGAACTAGGATCATAACTATCAATAGCTTTCATTCCCAAAAAAAAAGAAAAAAAAAAACAAAGAAGAAAAGAAAAAGCAAAGGTAATACCTTTATATGTTATCTGTTGCAATGTTTACTTACTAGTTATTAGTATTTTTTTTTGTTAAGAAGCGCTGTGCATGCTCAAAAATTAAAAATAGAGAAAGATTTCATGCCATTGTTACTTGTCAAATATCCTAATAGACACATTCTAATGTAGGAGTCTTGCATGTTTTTATATCTCCCCGAATACCAGGACCCTGTCTTAGGATGAAACCTTGTTGGATCGAGTTCTATCGAGTCCTTTGGGAACTCGTGAGAAACTTTTGAAATTTCTTCCCATTGCTTCATCCTCGTTGCAGACTTCTTAGATGTTTGCATACGTATGAATTATATAGTCCCTAAGTCTTTCTAGCATTGCATCAACAATGTCGATAGACTTGAGTCATGTTTTATGCTCATGCTTTCTTTTCCCTGGCACAACTTAACAAAAAATTTTTGTTTTTACCTTTTCCATGCTCATTCATTTGGTCTATTTTGAATTATGAGCCATGTGAATTGGTTCCTTAGAGTCTTTGTATATATGTTTCATGACATGCATGTGATCTATTGTCCCAATAGACTTGGTTCAATTTCACATTTTGTTTGTTGTAATAATGTTGTCTGATAATCACTTTTGTCTACGGTTGGAACTTGAATGGTCCCAATATATTGCGTCTAATAGAGGGAGGAAGAGGGATTGGAGGAGGGTAGGGTTAGCAATGGGCCAGGTGGCCCATTTTGGCCCTCTAAAAATTGGGCTTAGGCCACAAACCGAGGGCTGGGACATTGTCGAGCCACCACTGCCCAAGGGTAGGGCCGGGCCTAGGCCTAGGCCATGACAAGGCTGGCCAGACCTGTCCAACCCTTTGTTTCCTTTTCTTTTTTTCCTTTTTTCTGTTCAAGTGTATTGGGCCTAGCTCGGCCCAAGCTAGAGCCGAGTTTGGGCCAGGACTTCTTTGACCCAGTCAGGCTCGGGGCGGTCCTTTAGAGACAAGGACGGGGCTAGGGCTAGCGTTGCCCGGGCCCAAGTCGGGCCTGTTGTCAGCCTTAGAAGGGGGAGTGGGTGACCATCCTTTGGAGTAATATTTTGTGCATGCATCATTTACCGTTTTTGTTTGGCTTCGTAATAGACCTCTTAGTTTGTCTCTTTCATTGGAAGCTAGGACATTCATGACATGCCTGTTTGCTTAGTATATTGAGTCAAAGGTTTTGGCTACCTAGTTATAAGACTTTGGTTTTTTAATAATCAGGAAATGCAGAAAGTATGATAGCATGAAAGAGGAAATAATACAATTTAAGAATTAGTCACCAAATAAAATAATAATACTAAAAAATATGGCCCCATGTGATTTAATCACTTCGTTATTTGAACTCATCTACTAAAAGAATTGTATCTCCGCATTCAAATCCATAATAAACATAAATCCACTGCTATAATTATTCTTAATGTCACAACTATAATTGCAGTCCACTGACAAAATAAAATTAAACTCTTTTCTGTCTTGTGGAATGTCTAAGATTTACATTCGTGAAGTCAATAAGACAGGAGGCTGAAATATCTTTACTTTGTGATTTTCTTTATGGGCTCTTTGAGTATCAGGTCTTCCATTTCCACCAAACCATGTATATTATCCTGAACCAGTCATAAAGACTGGAAGGATTGTTTAAGTAATGAGAATGTTGCATTGGTCGAAACATGCGCAATAAATGCCAAATTGTTGGACTACCTAAAAAAAAAAATTAAAAAAGAAAAATTTGCAGCTAAAATAAAAGATCCAAGAAGCAAAATAGTGAAAGAAAAATATTTCGAGAAAGGTCCGTTCCGGCCTCTCTCCCCGGATCCTATAGTTCTGGCCTCTCTTCTGGCCCCCTACCTTCCCTACCCTCCAAACATTATGATTCTCTTCCAAGTAAGGTTTGTTCCGTTTCGGCCCCTCTTCCCCATCCCTTCATTGATCCTTTTGCTACTCGTTTGGCCCCGACAGCGCTTGCTTTTATACCTCCCCACCCTTATGTTGTCTCCTCGACTCCCCTCAACTCCTTACCCTTGCCTTTTCTGGTGACCCCTACCCTCCACAGCTTCACTCTACTCCCAAGCCATTTCCATCCCTCCACAACCGATTTTACCCCGATACTGCTTTCCCTTCCTCCTCAACCCCCTCTTCTGACCCTCCTCTTTTCAACCCTCCACCTCTGTCCCCTCTTCCAAACCCACCAGTCCCTTGCCACTTTTCTCCCCTCTTCCAGACCCACCGGCCTCCACCACCCGTGTTATTACTCCTCCCTGATCTCTGCCCTTCCTGTCCCCTTGAACCCTCTCTTCCCTCGCCTTTGGTGCCCTCTTGCTCATCCTCCTCGCCTTCTTCGTCGACAACCATGCCTCTCATCCTACTCCTTACCCCATACTTGGCCTCATCAGTGGACTCAGAGTATGTGGACAGCGTCGACGACGGATAGGGCAGTATCAAGGAGGTCCTTAGGTTCATGGGTTTCCCCTATGAAGGACCCGAGGGCCCCTTTCATCTCTTCTTCCAGGCAGACGCTTAGAGCAGGCTCAACGTAAGGATTAAAGGCTATGGGGAGGTGCTCAACCTCTACTCAAACGTAAATTATAACAGACCGTCCGCTTTTGTGCCACCTTTGCTGGCTGAGGCCTAGTCTCTCCCACCGGACTCTCTCTTGAGAAGGTCTCCTAGACTAGCACCCCCCTAAACCCCCTTATTTCCTTATGAAGATACTGTCATGGAATGTCCGGGGTTTGGGACAAACCCTCAAACGCAATGCAGCTCGGGACTTGTGCGTAGGACAACCCTACCACTTTGGTGCTTACAGAAACAAAACAACCCCAACCCTCTCTTCACCTAATTCGCCAAGTCTGGGGACGTAGACCTTGCTAGTGGGTGTCTTTGCCTGTTGTTGGGGTCTCAGAGGGAATCTCGGTCATTTAGAAACCCCTAGAACACGCCCTCTTGTCCTCTCACAGAGGGGACTTCGTCATCACTATCCTCCTTTCCAGTGTCTCCGATGGATACCCGTGGAAATTCTCAGCCACTTATGGCCCAAACTCTGCTGCGCACAGAACTGTGCTTTGGGACGAGCTCGACCTCGTTGCCACCCTCCCTCATCCCTCGTGGCGCCTCGGGGTGATTCCAATATTACTAATGGTCCTTTGAGAGGAACTCAAATTCCAACATCTTGCAAGGGATGATTGGTTTTTCGGACTTCATCTTGCGCAACGAACTTAACGGCATCCCACTCCAGGGAAACCGATTCACCTGGTCAGACCACTCCTCTCAACCCTCTCTCCAAACTTGATAGGTTTCTCCTCTCCACGAACTGGGACGATAATTTTCCTGGCTCTCATGCCCTAGCTTTACCTTCTGACTATTGCCCCACATTCTGGACACACTTTCTGTTTCGAGAGGTCCTAGACCGTTTCTTTTCAAGCTCTCTTGGCTTGACGAGGCTCTTGTATACTCCCTCATCTCCACTTGGTTGGAGCCCTTCTCCCCGCTCGTCTCGGGTAGGGCACGATACAAAATGCAAACCAAAATTCAACTCCTTAACCATTCAGTCAACTTTTCTCACCTCAAGAGTACTCACCTTGCTGCCATTCATGCTTTAGATCTCACTGAAGAATCCCGGACCCTGTTGAGCTCGAAATCAAACCTTAGAACTTAGTACAAACTCGAGTGCTTCTCCACCCTCAACAAAGAAGAGATTTTTGGTTTAAGCAGTCCAGGGTTAAATGGCTCCGCTCCGGGGACCATAACACCAGATTCTTCCATAGTATAGCAAACTGCCGACGACGGGACAACTCTATCTCCACAATCAAGGATGGAAATAAGATTTTGGACCAATCCCCCGAAATCGAAGCAGGCATTTTATCCTTTTTCCAAACTCGTTATTCTACCCCCTTGGGTCCCAAACCTAGGATGCCGGATCTATAGTTCCTTGTAGTTCTTGCTCATTGGGTCCAGTGGTTGGAACGACCATTTTCTGAATTAGAAATCCAGGCTGCTTTAGCGAAATTGGGTTAAGACAAAGCACCAAGCCCAGACGGCTTCCCAATGGCTTCCTTCAAGCTTTTCTGGGAAACCTTCAGGCTCGATTTCATGGATTTTTTGAAGAATTATTCCATTGGGGAATCCTTCACAAAGCCATGAACGTGACCTTTATCGCTCTTGTCCCAAAAATCAAAGGGCAGAAGAACTGAAGGACTTTCGACCAATCAGTTTGGTCAACTCCACATACAGGATTATATCCAAAGTACTGCCTTAGGCTTAAAGAGGTCCCCCCCTTCGTGATATCTCTCTCCCAGAGTGCCTTCATCAAAGATATGTAGATCCATGACGGGTTCCTAGTGGCCGAGGGAGAGGTAGGTATTGGGGTGAGAGGCCTGGTACTCGACGAGGAGAGAGAAAGGTATGGGCGAAAATGAACCAAATGTATGGTGGAAGGCCAGTCAAAGGGGTTGGATGGGTACATGTTAAGTGGGAGGAGGGTAGGCTCGAGGGTGGGAGAGGCCAGTGTGTGGGGGTGACCAGAGAGGTTGGGAGGGGAGAGGGTGGGGGGAGAAGAGAGAGTAGGACCCTTGGAGGTGGAGGCGTATGGGTGACAGGCAGGGAGCGATGGAGGAGGGGAGGGGGGGGGGAAAGACCGAAGAGTTAGGGCAGGGGGAAAGATGCAGATAGTTTAAAGGAACAGGGTAATAGGGTTAGGAAGAAGAGGGTTGGAAAAGGAGGGGTAAAGGGGGTTGGAAGGAGAGGGATAAGGATATGGCAATGAAGCAGAGGAGGGTGGTGGGGCACTTGAGGAGTTGGGGGTAAAGGATTGAGGGGAGTCGGGTAAACCAGGTGGGAGTGGGGAGGTAAAAAAGATAGAGTTGCGGGGCTAGGATCAGAACCAAACTAAGAGGCTCGGGGTTAGGAATATAATTAGATCTAACTTGACAAATGGGGATGAGACATGGGGGGTAAGGAAGGTAGGGTGCGAGAAGGAGGGCCAAGACCTCATGATCCGGGGGTTAAGGTCATCGGATTCCACTGCCAGAGTTCCGACTGGAAAAGGGGGCCACTCCATAGGGCAAGAGGGGCGGGGTGAAGGTTGAGGAGGTTCCTCTAGGGTCTGAAAAGCAGGGGGTATCAGGGGATTGGAGGGCCCAAACTAGGGGGTCTCGGGGGGAGAGGGTGGTTTAAGGTATTGGGGTTCGATGGGTGAAGGAGCAGAGGGGTGGGATGAGGGCGGCAACGAGATGTATAAACCAAGGAGGGGATCTTCGTCAAAGGTAGGGAATGAGGGGGAAGGGGTTTGTAGCGGAGGGAGTTTGGAAGAGAGAGGACCATGAGAGGAGGTGGAAAAGGTAAGGGGGAAGGCAGGATCAAAAAGAGGTCGGGGGAGGAGGGGTAGAGAAAGAGGGGGAGAAGAAGGTGGGGTTGGAATCTCGAGGGGAGGAGGGGAGGGATGGGGATAGGTGTCCTTGAAAGGATTCGATGGGTGAAGTGGGGAAGACGAAGGGGAAGCTGAAAAGGATTGATCCATTGGACAGACGACGACAGCCAAGGAGTGGCTCTCCCTAGGACCGTTGGCCCCATTTCTCAATAGCCTTGAAGTCGTCCCTCCTGAGTTGAAACGAGCCCACTCGGGATGAGTGAAGTTTTGATATAAGAGGGTTGGAGACCTCAACCGAGGTGGAAATAATCAGGAAGGCATGGGCAGCTAGATAAGAGCTAGAAGCCCAGAGGGGTTGAGAGAAGGGGGAGGGGAGGAGGAAGACACCACCTGTGCGTACGTGGTTTGAGATGAGGAACCCGCGCCACCCAAGGTAGAGGAGGATGGGGGGATGGGGACGGAGGCGTGGTGGGAGTATAAGCTATAGATCTTGGTCCAGTCCGAGGGGGGGAACCACTTCTCCTTGGAGGCCATGGATTATTACCATAACCCATGTCAAGGTTTCATGTCTTCTCAAGTGTCTTCTATAAACTAGGTCAACATTATAAAAATAAAAAATAAAAAATTGTCTTCTAATATGCAACATTGCTTCTTTCATACGCATTTTTTGTCATGGCTGAAATGGCATATTGGAAATGTTTTATACTTTTGTCAAATTAAGGGCATCTTACTTCTATTCTAAGAGGCATTTACATCATCGGCATGCTAGTTTTTACAAATCTCTTCATTTAGTGGTTGTCAGTGTTCTAAATTTGTCCAGCCAGCTTGAAACCAGAGGGAGACTGGTCTGAGCCCCCCGCAGAATCGGGACATGGACCAGTTCACCTAAAACATCATGTCTTTAAAGAGATTGTAAAACTTTGCTCTTACAATAAATTTGGATTTAAATTAACATTAAATGGATTCCATTCCCAAACATGTAAAAACTTTGTTTTATGTTTTTTATTTTTTTAAATAATTGACTGAGTCGGCTGAGCTGGCTTGTGCCCTGTTTGCTGAGCCAGCTCGGAACCGGCAGGTCACCTGTTCGGTTGCCTGAGCTGGTTTTTAGAACACTGATGTTAGCCCTAGGTAGCTGGTTATTGTTTGAGCAATTTGATATGTCATCACTTCATTGCTTGACCAATCGTATGGTTTCCTATACTTAATTGAATGGTTTCCTATACTTAATTAAGTGGGACTTGTGCAGGCAGCGCCAAAATGATGATAGGTGGAAGCACGATCTTTATGATGATGGAGGTGAAATTCCTCAAGTTTCGAGTACGATTAATTGCTGCCTCAGAACTGCCAAACTTTGTGTCCTGGGCGTTCTTTTGCTTACTAATATTCATTCTTTTGCTTACTAATACTGTATGTTTCTGCTTACATAATTTTTGTGGGTTGACAGTGTTGCTTTTACCTTTCATGCATGTACAGATTCCAAGGTTGGTTCCAAGGATCTACGGTTAAAGTTACAACGAAAGGCTTCACAGCAGGCGTCTCAAAGTTCACGTCTCCCACAAACAAGTGTGGGTGATTTGCGGGAAAAGTTATCTGGTATAATACATTCACAACCATCAAATACAGATCAACCTAATGTCAAGCTTGTGCCTGATGCTGCCAAAACTGTGAAGAAGACCATTTCATCTAATGAATTGGGTGGCATGGATGGCAAGAAGATTGTCAATCCTTCTATGACTGAAAAGAGGGTACAGCAGAAGGTACCTTTTTATATACAAATGTGTGAATGACTCAATGTGAGGTTTTGCTTGCATTTTGATGTATTTATTATCCTTTCTTTTCATAAGGCAATGCATAGAATCGCTCCAATTAGTCATTGTTATGAAGTTTCTCACCTCCATGATGAGAAGATTTCAATAGATCCAACATTTCTATACTATTTAATGTTGTAAAGTGCCTCGAGCGAGAGGGTGGCTCACCCTGCCTAGAAAATTTAAGCACTCACCTAGGCAGGTGCTGGAATCTTGTAGTCAAGGAACCCACAAACACAAACAAACACACGTGCAGAGGTTGCAGGTGATGGAGGACAAGTGGTTTGAAACTGAAAGTTATTTTTCATGCATGCCGATCTTCTCTACCAAAGGAAATACATATCACACAAAGGTCGGCATGAGTTAACTCAAGAAGCTTATGTCTAGTCAGCATGCTCCAATATCATCTTCGAGGCATAACAAGTTTTTGCATTAATTTTTTGAAATATTGAGTTGTCATTGTCTGATTAACTCAACTCTTTTTCAGAATTTGTTCACTTGGACAGTAGTAGTTTTAAGCATGACTACAGGATTCTTGTAGTTTCCAGAGCTCTGACGCATGGTGATCCCCTATCTCTCTTCTTGTTCAAATTCGTCTCTAAATGCCAATGTTTTAAAAAATGGTCTGCCTGGTGCCTAGGTGTCTTGGACAAAAAATCCGCACGCGTAGACCAAGCGGCCCTACACCGGTGGATGTACTTGGGCGGGTGCCAAGGCGGGCGCCCAAGGTTGTAAGACCTTTTTCGTGTTTTTAAACCACTCAAAAGGGCAAAAGGGGTGTTCAATCCCATCCCCGAGTTTTGCGAGCCCCCTTCTTCTCTCAACGGCTCGGACCCAGCTGGTACTTAGATTTTCGGATGCAACCTACAAACTACTCCTAGTTCACTTCCCTGCTTTATTACCGCTACAGCTTACTTAAACTCAATTACCTTACTTACAGTTAGAGAAGGTACTAATAGTTTACTTGCGAAGCTAATCTAAGGGACTAGCTACTCCGTTTACCTAAGCAACTACTTCCACTCTTACCCGGCGCCACCCAATGGCTGATATAATTAATATAGTAAGGCGAGGGGCCTTGCTACTTTCTGCTCTCGATTCGATTGGAAAAGTGCACTATGGAAAATGCAATTTTCAATCGAATCGAGCGCTGCGCTGGGCCTGGCGGGGCACTTTCCAAAGTGCCTGGCAAACTCGGGTAGGTCAGTCCTCCATTCATCCGACTGGAGGTGTGGATAACGAGGCCACCTTCACTCCATCGGCTTAAGCAGTTCGAAAAACCCTCAATATATGAAAACCCCCAAAGTAAAAAAATTACAGGGCGCCTAAGGTTCTGGGCTCCCGCCTAGGCGCTGGGTGGTGGGTGCCAGGCAGGCCGCCTAGCATTTTTTGAAACCTTGTTAAATGCACCTGTCTATTGTCCCGGCTGCTCGATGAACGACTAAGTTCAAGGTTCTAAGGTGAAAGCTGCCAGTCAAATTATTTACCACCTGAAATTTTTTGTTGATGCATTGTCCTTTTTTGTGACAGAGATGCTGTGAGGTTGTGAATCTCAAGTTGGTGCTCAGATGGTATGAGATGATGTCTCGGAAAATATTATATTTAGATTAAGTTTGATTATGAGATACTTATGTCGTAGTTGGAGGTCCTTCCCTTTAGGTTGGATTATCTTATTGGAGAGCTTCCTAGTATCTATTGATCTCCTTTTTTTTGCACCGATTAACCTAAGGAAGCTTGTGGGGTCCCATTACGGAGAGGTGTGAATGGAGATTCTCTAATTTCCTTTTACGTCCTTTGTTAAGAGGCTTCCCGTAATCTTTGTAAAATCCTAATTTACTGTATGTGCCTTTTGTTCAACTGCTGGTTGGAGCAGCACAGGGGCTAAAGAGTATAGAATGGACTTACTTTGGAAAGGAAGCAGTGAGGAAGTAAGAAACATAAATTCTATTGGTTCACCTTTGAGGATTTGTTTAAACCTTTTGACAGGGTCATTTGATCAGCAAATCTGTACTTGGTAAATTGGTGTGGGTGGTTTGCATGCAAATAAGGGGATTTGTGTACTCTTATTGTCTCATAGACTTGACAGATATTATATGACGACTTCTAAGGTGTTTGGAACTTTGGAGGTTTGTTTGTTCGGTGAGTCTTTTGAGTTTTGTTGTGGCATTACATTTAGGGTTTGTGAGAGGTCTTTTATTAGGTTCTGAAATTCTGATTCCTTGTGTGGTGCGGCATTGTGGCATTGCTGGAGTGGTTTCTGTGTTTTGATTCATGCTTTCTTAGTCATGATGTGATTGATAGTCAGGGATTTCCTGGAGAGAGAGTGCGTGATTTGGGGCTCAGTTGCAGGAACTGTCCTTGGTAGCTATTCCTGCTTCCAAAACAAGTGGTTGTTCTATACCAATGGTAATGGAAAATGAGTTCTCTGTCTGATCCTGTGTCCTGCATTAGGTGTCTTCAAGAGCTAAGTTTTGGTTTCTGTTGTGTAAATGTGACCTGGTATTCTTTGGGTAGTTTGATGTGACCTGGTATGAAACGGAGGATATGGGGTTTGTTGCTAGGGTATATCGGGAGTTAGTCTTTATTATCTGGTCTTGAGATCTCAACAATCTTTCCTGTCGCTTCAGTTGCTAAGCCCCTAACGGCTTGCAAAGTAGGCACTGTCGCTTGCCTTGTGTTGAGTAGTATGGTCCCTCCTCGAGCACTTGCTTTTGGCTGGCCTATAGACTGTGATACTTTGAGGATCTGGGTTCACATTTAGAGTTGTGGCTTGGCTGTTCCTACTCTGTGTTGTATCTGCAGAGCATATGTGGCAGCTGTAGGTCATCTCTTGATCCAATGTTTCTCTAGGGTTGCATCTTGCGGATTTCTTTTTCTCCGTTTTTTTTTTTTGAGTATGTTCACTGTTGTATTGAGTAAAAGAATTTACAAGTGTTTAGGCAACCCACAGGCCGGGTGCCCTGTACAAAAACCCCTAAGAGCCCAAAAAATGCTATACAAGCACTATATGGAACAAAAGAATAAAATTTTAAAAAATGGTTCATGTGCTAAAAAGGTGCTCAAAAGGTCCCCTGTGTGTCTTCCTATGATGCTTCTGCTTGTGTGGCTCCCTCTTTGGTAAGGGTTTCTGCGACAGCGTTGGCTTCCCTCCAGGTATGCCTCCAAAAGACGTGAACAGGCCTGCAAATTTGGAAAATCTTGTAAAAAATATGGTCCAACCTCCAAGGGCAAGGTGAGGATCCTGTGGCCCATGCCAATACATGATTGAGTCCCCCTCGATAACCAAAGTAGGGCTCCAATGAGGGTTGTAGTTCTGAGCGCCTTTGAGAATATTGGAGTCTGAATCCAATAAAATGGGAGTAGGAAAAGAGGGTGCAGCTGTTCTTGTATCTGAATATTCCCCCTATGCCTGCTGGGCTGGGGTTGCCTAGGGTGCAGCCACCAAAGTTGGGTTTGGATTGGCCAGGTTCTTGTGGCATCGAAAGCATAGTTGTTGGGTGCAAGTGCGTTCCCGGGAGCGGGAGCGGGCTCAGGTCCACGGAATCGTAGATTGTTGGAAGCTCCTTGTGGTTGGGATTGTCATCTGTACGATACTATAACAAAGGGAGCGCGATTCCATGGGGAAGGAATCGCAATAGTATGTTTTAAGGGATCAAGAATGATGCGTGGGTTCACAGTACCAGTGGGCACAAAACTGAATCATTGCATATGAAATAGAGAAAAAATCATATGCACTATGTCATACACTTGAGAACCGCGGCGGATCACGAAATAGGGATCCGCTTTTCATCCAAGATTCCTAGCTGGAACCACAGCATCGAGGTTCTGGAGCAGATCTGTGACCTTTCCTACAATGTTCCAGCAACTATGGTCCAGAGAGAGGCACGAGTAATGTGGGTGGGCCTTAGATTCAGCGTGGCCAGCCAGTCTTGATGAAAATCTGAGTATGAGAAGTGCTTGAAGGGTTTGCTGTTTTTCTCCCAAAAGATGACCAGGGTTTTTACCCTTTCTTTCAGGGCTTTGATGGTAGTCTCTGCCGAAAGGTCCTACTGTTTCTCTTAGTCCAAATAACCCATGACTTAGCTGTCACGAATGCCCTCCACAGGAGGATCCGGTGAGGTATCAGGACAGAGTGACCCACGCCCAGTTGAAGAGTTGTAGGAGGTTGCCCCAAAGGGTTCTTGCAAGGTCGCCGTCGGGAAATAGATAGTCATTGGTTTCTTCCTCCACTGTGCACATTGTGTATCTGGGGGAATTCTTCCTTGACTTTTTCGGCATATGTTGGTTAGATAAAACAAAAGTTACCTAGGAGTACTTGAGGGTTTGGCTATGAATTATTTGAGAGGATTTGCTTAACGATATCTTTGAGGGAACCTAGAATAATGACAGGATCTTCGCTGCAAAATTTGTGAGTATTCCAATTGCTTGGTAGTGGGGACCTGGATTAGAGATTTGGTAGTTTAATGGGATCTCATCCACTAGGATTTCAATGGAACTGTGAAGGAGGATTTAATCTGGGATTGACTGATAGTGCCCCAAGAACTTTATAGGTCTACTTCCCGGTGGCCCAAGCCACCTATGGGGTCTATCAACGTAGATTTATATCTTCAATGATAGATATCTTTGCCATAGGAGTCGGAAAACTTATTTGGATTAAATAATATGTTCATTTGACTGTTCAAAGGGTGTACTTTAGTCAGGCTTAGCACAGTTTTAAAATAAATTTAGGAAATTTAATACTCGGGAAAATGGAATTTGACCGCAGAAATTTGGATTATTTTATCAGTCTTTTAAGGAAAAGGTTTGTATAAGGTTGCAGCCTTAAAATGTAGAACTAAGGTGCACTTAAAAAATCCATCATAGAAGGTTTTTTTGATGTTGGAAAAACGTCTAATTGGTCGTCTTTACATCAAGATGTATGAATATGAAAAGAAAAAAAATTGAGTCCTAAAATAGTGTATCTTGCAACAAATTATATAGACCTTCCATTTTCAAGATTTTCAAGTGTTTATGGATCTACTTGATTTGAACCATTTTTAGAGTTTAAGATCTTTATATTTAGAGATGAAAATAGATTTTTAGACCATCCTAAGAATTTTTAACTCCAAAATTATATTTATGATAAAATTTGGAGGTCGCCTTAATTTGATTGTTTAAGGTTGCAACCGTATACAAAGCACACCCTTCTTTAAAGAGGGCATGTATATACATTCACTTAATGGCTTAACTAGTTGTGGTTTCTTTGCATTTGAATCAGCAAATATTTGGGAGGCACTGAATTTTTCAAATGCTTTGAGATTTTCGTAGCCAGGTGCAGTAATAAGTAGGTTAAATGTGGTGAAGGTATTGGTCTTTCGGGTGTCTTCTGATGGATGTGGAAGCAATTGGGTTTGCTCACCCTATTTTGATGGGGTCAACTTTTTGAGTATGATTAGATGGTCTTGTGGTGAGGGGAGTGCGCCATGGTGAATGCTCGTCTCACTTAGGACTGGTGGCATTTGGGAGACAATGGTTTTATACTTTGACATTCATTATGATTCAAACATAGAGGCTTACTGGTAAAGGTAAAGGGGCATGTGTACTAGTGCTTAGTTGTAGAATATGGCTCGTAATTTGATGTGTATGAACCTGTATGGTTCTGTCCTGACAAATATGTGTTAGATTTGTCGCTTTGGAATTCAGTAATAGGGGAAAAACTTATTGTGTTTGTTTTATAATACTCAGTTACTTGGAACATCAAAGTTGCCGCATTAACTTGCCTCTTTATGTTTCCCTATCACTGATTTTTCTTTCTCAACTTGCAGTCATCTTTGTCGGTGAGTGGTCTGCTACAGTCTCTTGGACTAGAGAAGTATTCAATAACATTTCAAGTAGAGGAGGTATATACCCTCTAACTATCCCATGTTTTCTTGGCTCTAAACTACCTGCATCTTACTCAAACCTTAAGCTTAATCATGTTGCATCTTCAGGTGGATATGGCTGCCCTTAAGCATATGACTGATGAGGATCTAAAGGCCCTAGGAATCCCTATGGTACACTCACTTGTCTCTTTTCTTCTTAAATTTTTAGCTTTGCTAATATTTCAATTTTTAAAGATCCTAAGTGGTTTGCCCGATCCAAAACGTATATAGGAAGAGGCAATAATTCGTGCAGTCTTATTTGAATAGATTAGTCTTTGGAAAGAATCATTGCCTTTTTAAAGATGTTGAAAAAACCTTGCAAAAAACTTGTCATGGGATTAGGCCGTTTTGTTGTTAATGATCCCCTCATTGCAGAGACAGTTTCTCTAATGTATGGCATAGGTTGTGTTCTTTTATTTTTGTAATTACACTGTATGTTTTGTTTCTTTCGGTTTAGGAACTTAGGAAGCATCCGTGTTCTTTTTATCTTCACTCAGGAAGCATCATGTGGTTCTCATAATCATCCGTTAGGTTCTAGTTGTCAATCACAATTAATAATACTTTTGTAAATTTAGAGTTACATAGATTTTTGTTGGCCATTGTGGAGTCCATAATGTGCAAATAGGTGCCTAAAAGATAGGACTGGTGCATCATTTCTCAGAGTTTATTACATGTGCAGTAACTAAGTCTTTCTCTGGTGTTTGTGATTGTTATTTTAGGGTCCTAGAAAGAAGATACTCCTGGCATTGAACTCTAAAGTCAGGAACAGCTGAGATTGGGAATTTGGACCAGAAGGACCTGGTGCAGCTGTGCTTAGAAGGAATCAAGTTTGTGGCCCATTTAACTATGCTTCTACCTGCACCCACACAATTTTCTTCTATAATTCCTGATGTTGAATCAAGGAAAGCCCAATGATTATGATGTTGTATATCCAAAAGTTGATGACATGTAATTTAATGCAAGGGGGAATTCTAATTTATTTTATATATGTTGAGCACTTTTTCCATCACATAATGACAGATCGGTGGTTTGATTACTCGAAGCCTATGCCAAGGTTTATGGATATTAGCTGTTTGTGTGATAGGTTAGCATCTCGTACACTATTTAGCAAGGGAAGTGATCAGTTAGGGTTTTTGTTTCTATTTTATTAATCTTTGAAGAGGAAAAGATTGGGGTTTGAAGTTTTTTTTTTTTTTAATGAAGTTTTGAGGTTATTTGTTTTTCTTATCACGAAGTACATGTTTTTGTTGTTATAGAGAATTGATAGGTAGAAGTGAAATTTTAAATTCAAATATTTAAAAGGCTAGAATTTAAATGTTATTTTCAAGTCAGGTTTTAGGGTTCTTTTATAAAATATGTAAATGTTGTATTGAAGGATTTTTGACTTGGGATGCATATATTATTCTCTGTCGGGACCATTATTATACATCTACTCCCTTGGCCATAATACCTTTTAGGGAGGATTTTTTTCAATATGAAATTTTAAGAATAACAAAAGTCTATTTTAAAAAATTCAATGAAAAAAAATTCAATTTTGAGTTTGTGAACACCTAGTTCTCACCCTCTAAAAAATGGCAGATCTTTCTATGTGTTGAAGAGGTTGTATCCCCAAAATTTGGGGTTCTAAAATAATTCGACATTAGATTTTGCTCGAGAGAGTGAAAAGACGATAAACTCCTGCGAGTAAGAAATCTTTTGGGATTAACTTTTGGTCTTTTGAGGGGACCTTGATGACGGTGTTGACTTACTTGCAGACAAGAGTGGGTATATTTTCTTATATCGAGCGAAAACATAGCATAGGAAGGGGGTTGGGTTATGGTGGTGGTACCAAAAATGCCTAGTTATTACGTTGTGGTTTTCAATCTTATTGATACCGCGTTGACACCAATCTTATTGATACCACCTGTTGATACATTCATAAAAGCTAACTCTCTAATCCATCTGAAGAAATGGATAGGGCCTATTTTCCCCAGTGAATTATATCTAAGAAAAATAAATAAATCCTACTGATACCAATATGGTGACACCTTCATAAAAGCTAACTACTTTATCTATCTGAAGAAATGGATAGGGGCCTATCTTCCCCCATTGAGTTATATCAAAGAAAAAACCATCGAGCAAAAACATTCTAATCTATCTGAAGAAATGGATAGGGACCTATCTTCTCCATTGAATTATCAAAAAAAAAAAACATCGGGGCCTATCTTTCCCCATTGAATTATATCAAAAAAAAAAACATCGACAAAAAACATTTTAATCTATATGAAGAAATGGATAGGGCCTATCTTCCCCCATTGAATTATCAAAGAAAAAAACATTGAGCAAAAACATTCTTTGACAATGTTTGTGTTTATTTATTAGTTTTTTTTGTTTTATGGCTCTCCCTATTCCCAAAGTCAACTATCGTTCTCTATCTTCTCATTGTCTAACATTCACATATTTATACAAGACAAACACAAAAAATCAAATACTCTTACGAATTCTTAATTACAATTAGATCTCAGCTCTTCATCTATTTAATTAAGCTTTCTTCACCCATTTGTTCTCTAACAACGAACGTCCAAATTGTTTTGTCGACAAGATCTAGTTGTTGAGAAGTCAAAATTTGTGTTTTTTTTTTTGAAAAATTACAAAACCCCCCAAAATCATACTTTTTAGATAAAGTAAATTGAAGACCAAAATACCCTTTGGAAAGCATGTGGTCCAACACAAAACGAGGGCAGTCCGGCACTTTGCTTCTAGAAAACATGTGGTCTGGCACAAAATAGGGGTGGTCTGGCACAAAATGGGGCCGTTCAGGCACTTTGGGCTCTTGGAAAGTATGCGGTTCGACACAAAATAAGGGCAGTCTGGCACTTTTGGCATGCGGTCCGGCACAAAATGGAGGCGGTTTGACACTATGGGCATTTTCGTCAAAAAAATATGATTTTTTTTATTTGAAGGTATTTACTAGGAAAGTTCAATTTGGAGCAAAAGTTGCTAAAGAAAAAAACTTGGTTGGAATTAGGTTGTCTAGAAAGTCTCCTTTAGAGGGGTCTTTGTAAATCCTCCCCTTTTTTTTTCCCTTTGTTTGAAAATAGTGGTTACTCTTAGTTGGATCCTTAAACCTCAAATAAAAAAAAAATCTCCTAAAAAAATCTCATTTACCTGAGAGAGTTGATGTATAGGATGCTGCCTCGGGAGCATTCCGTACGCGCTCAATAATACATAAAGGAAAAATTTTATACAAGGTTGCAACCTTAAATGTAGAACTACAGATGCACCTCAAAAATCCATCGAAAAAGGTTATTGTAATGTTGCAAAACCTTGTGATTGATCATCTCGACATCGAGATGCATGACTATGAAAATAAAAAGATTTTGAGTCTCAGAAATAGTGCATCTTACAACATGTCATCTACACTGTCCATTTTCAAGATTTTCATATGTTTATAGATCTACTTGATTTTTACCATTTTGTAATTTAAAATTTTATAATTAGATATAAAAATAGATTTTGAGATAATCCTAAGAACATTTTGCATCAAAATTATATATTATGATAAAATTTGAAGGTTCACCTTAGTTGGATTGCTTAAGGTTGCCACCTTATGGAAACCACACCCATACATAAAATATCACGTCGCGTCATGCGTTGTAGTGGAAAATAACAATACGACGCATCTCAAAACACATTGCTTGTGAGAGTATTTTAGTTCAAGTAGGGGAAACAATGGGCCTGGTGGCCTTGCCCGGCCTAGTCGCCTCGGCCCTAATAAACTAGGGCTTGAAATGTGGCCTACAAAATGTGGCCTAAGTGTTGGCGAGGGTCGAGCTAACATAACCATTGTCATGACTTGTTAGGCAAAATAATTGGCAAAATAGGTTCTTGGCAAGCTCTTTCCCTCTCTTATGCAGGTCGTTTACAATTGCTGAAATCTGTGCTTAATTTGTCTACTATTTTCTAGGTCCTATTCTTTCTTCTTCCATGCGACACTTCTAATTTGGTTGAGAAATTGCAACGTAACTTCCTTTGGGCTGGCATATCAGAAAAGAAGGGGCCTCATCTAGTCAAATGGAAGATCGCATGCCCAACAATGGAAGAAAGGGGGTACAAATTTGTAACATTGTAGGTATGATGAAGCTAGCACAACAATTTTTAGCTAACCCATCATCTTTGATTTCTCAATTCTTTAAACACAGGTGCTACAAAGGCTCCTCTATATGGGATGTTAAGAAGAAGGTCGGTTCCCATGTCTGGAAGGTTATCCAAATGGGGCTTAGCTACCTTTATCACAATGTTAGATGGATTGTTGGTGATGGCCTTTCTGTGGACTTTTGGGCAGATTCATGGTTGTCTAAAAAGTCTTATGGGAGACTTGTGGTAATTAGATTCATAAAGACTTAGGTGTTCTTGCCAAACCTCGGGCCTTTGACTATCTACATGCATAGGAGTGGAATCTTCCTTCCTCCAGTGGGTGGTCTGTGACTTCTGTTCCTCTATTTAGAGCCTGGGAGGAAGTCAGATCCCATAGGGTTCCACTTTAGCCTCATAATGGAATTATTGTACGAATGCATTGTTCAGATGGCCATTTCTTTATTAAAAGGCATGGGACTTTATTCGGTGCAGATGTAGGCCACAACCCATCTTCAAGAATTTGTAATCTTCTAGGTTCTATTCCCGAGCCAAGTGATTGTCCAAATTAGTTGTTCATCAGCGCTTTCCCATCACTACTCTTCTACAATCTAAAAGGCTTTCGCACCCATATGTACTTCTTAATTTACTAACGAGGATAACATAAGTCACCTATTACTTTAGTGTGCTTTTTAACAAGACATTTAGAGATCTGTTGCATGGAGTTGTGTTAAGAAATCAATCTATTGCGCCTGCGCTCACGAAATTGATATGTTTTGCTTCACGATTTGGCTATTGTTGGAGGTGCGTGGCACTAGGCTGTTTCAATACAAATGTACCAAGTGTGAGCACTTGTTGAAGAGAATCAAATCCCATGTTGGGGAATTGACTGCTGATAAGGCGTGGTCTTTCCACACCTCAGAGAAGGCCATTGCAAAGAACCTTTCAATTCCTTGGAGTCAAAAAAGGATGCAGTCCCGCACGCCGATCACCTGGTCTATGCCGTTGCCACGCCATTTCAAATTCAACATTAACAGAGCATCTTATCAAAACCCAGGTTTTACTGGTTGTGGTGATGTCGTAAGGAATGATGGTGGTGATTTCATTGTTGTATTCACTAAGCCATTGGGCACATCACATAACTATGCCGAGTTTTATTCTCTAGAAGTAGGAGTGTTAATAAAAACAAAATAGTACCATTGTAAAATGTAATCGGACAAGAAAGTGCATATCGCCATTGTAGAAGATATGAAAGTGTATATTGCATTTAACAAGATAGGAAAATGTATACTACATCATTGTATTACCATTATATATATAATGAAAGAACCACCATAAACATTGTGGGGCATAATTATTTTCTAAAAGAGTTCCTCTCTCTCTAAAATTCTTTATGGTATCAAAGTGATCATCGACCCCAATCTCAGCTTCCATAGTAGTTGTTCCTCTATTGGAGGTAGTCTCTCTCTCGGAACACTAAACTCTCCCTTCCATTCGATATCTTTTTTTTTTTCACTTCATATTTCTCAACCTTATTGCAAACCCTTTAAAGACGTCATCTTGCAAACCTTCTTTGCAAACTTGCAATTTCCATTCTCTCTCTGCACTTCTTTGCAAACTTTGAAAATTTGTTTCCCTGATATCCAACTCTTGCCCTCCATTACTTTTTATCTAAGATATCATCCTCCCTCCATCAAGTCATATTATATTTTATCTCTAATAACCATATCATCCAATCCTCTCTTTTATGTACACAATTTCTTCAAAAAACTCTCAATATAGGAAATTTTGTGTCTATTAAATTGAAAGAGAACAACTACTTGTTACGAGAAATCCAAATTATATCTTTGATTGAGAGTCAGGAATTTTTTGGATTCATTAATGGTGATTGCCCTACACAAAGTCAAAAGACTTACTCTCTTGATGGTA